TCATCCTCATCTAATTTACCACAAGGTCACTGGTGCGGGGAACCCTTAGGCTCATCCTTCGAGTACAAACCTATCGCTCCGGAGAATCTACGGTAGTAGCAACACCCCCGGCAGGACTCTTCACGCTCCTACTCGTACAGACCGACAGGTTCTCGGACATGTAACCCCAGGTTATTCCCAGAGCACATATCCCTGACCTTCAAGTACTATACTTTTCTTTTATTTTCTTTCCCCCCACCAATATCCTCTCCCCGCGCTCCGGGACGAGTGGGCCAAGCTCAGATCGACACCGGGGGCGCTGCCGGTTTGGCGGGTCACGAACGATATCGTCCAGTCAGTGTTCGGCATCACTTTGTGGGTGCTTGGAGCACCCGGAAGCTGGCAAACGAGATCGCGGACCCGGTGAATGGATTCGCTTGGTGTGAGACCGGTGGAGAAAGTGCTGAATTTAGTTGAGCGAGATGCACATGCTACGGTCACCGCATAGCGTATCCCATTGGACCTCGATTCTAAAAAAATGGAAATGGACTCGATTTACCGGTGAGGTTATAGCGAATAAGATGGTTTTTGGATGGATGGATGGATGGATGGATGACTAGACATCCATTTCGTGACTGACTGACCGGCCGGCTGGCTGGCGACTGGTGGAAAGGGCCGTGCACATCTTCCCCGTAGATCTGGAGTAACTTGTTTTGGCGCTGCGGAACGATTACTTAATGATTGCGCTTTTGGAGGTTAGTGCAGGCCCCAAGAGCGGGGTTAAATGGAGAAATGACTCCATAATGGTGCTGAAGAGACGGGCCGTCCGCCGAGCGACTGTCAACTCAAAAGCAAAAACGAGTTCGAGGGAAGCCTATCCGATCACAGAAAAGGGTATGATCCATCCCCCGAATCCTAGCATCATACGGTACTTGAGGGATAGCTACCCGCACAGTAACCCAACAAAGTGTCTTCCCGGGCAATAGACACGGACCACGGTAGGGGGGGAAACGAACAGAGATATATCCGGTTACAGGGAGGTCTCCCGCTTTCCCTGAAACGGATGCGCATTGGGAGGGATAAAACAGGATGTGGATGAATGAAGCTTAAAAGACAGCTTTACACTCGACCTCAGATGTTCCCACGTTGTATTTCGAAAATCTTATAAGTCATTGTGACCACACACGGGGTTGGTAAGTATTCACCCAGGGATGCCGACCACACGAGTTTGGTATGATATGATACCAAGGGATGGATACACAAAAGGCGGGGCTCGGCATTTCCGTAGAAACGTGGTTCAGGGGAGCTATGTCTCTCTCTCTCGCCCGCCCACGCCGTCCCAATTCACAAATCGGCGTCAGCATGCCTTTGCCATCACTCGATTTCTCACTTCTTGGCGATGTGAGAGACTGACGAATCATATCATACGGATGGACATTTCTCGTCCAATGTACCGTACAGTATTATTATTTATCATAGAGCGTGTTCTCCGAATGGCGCCATCTCCAATGTCCCAATTCTGAGCCTTGTACCGGTATATGACCCTCCCCTATCACACAACACATACATATATAAATTATATCATAGCGCCAATCATCTACCCATCGCTAAAGCCAAGAGCAACATCCCCAAAAATTCGCGGTCAATTCCGTAAGCTTTATTTTTCTTACGCGCTGATCTTTGTCACTATGATGATGGCTCTGGAAGGTTTCCGACGACGGGTCAAGCAGAATGGGGACAAATATTCCGCAGTTTGATTCGGAAAAATGTGGTTGTGGACTGACTAAGAACAGGAAAAGAGAGAGAGAGAGAGTCATCGCCCGGTACGGACTAACGATTCTCTGCCTTGACGGTAATTCTACAGGAGGACATGGTAAAAAGACCGGCTGGGCGCTTGGAAAAAAATGTCAAGAGTATTCCAGAGATCTTTATCATAATACTCGGATCATATCATGCAAGATTAGATTGAGCCTTGGACTGGTTTTTTTGGGTCTCTGCAGGGTATGGCAACGCTACGACGAGGGCCTTGGCGCGGTGAAGGATGATTGAGTGAATGACGATGAAAGGAGGCGCTGGGAGCCAGGCATGACATATCACTCGTATTGGGATTTCTGAACTGCGTTGCCGGGCACCGATGACCTTTCAGGCTATATAGCAGGAAGGGAGGGGAAATTTGTTCCGGATTGCAGCACCCCGGGGGCTCACAAGCTCTTCCTACGGGCTTTCGATTATTTCTAGAACTACCACCCCACACCCAACTTCATGCCAACACTTGTCAGGGATGGACTAGAGGCAGCCTTTGCATCTTCGCTCGGGCTGCTAAGCGTTTCTGGGGTAAAGGCCTAATATTTAGAGAGCCGGCAAAAAATCTCTTGGATCATTAGCGGATCAGGTTAAGACCTCCGAGGTTGATTTTTTTTCCCGAGTGTGCTCAGCTGTCAAGAATTTGTAAAGATACGGTGTTGCTCCACGGCGCTCCATTCTTACCGGAAATTGCGGGTGCCGTGTGCTGGAGCCAGTAGTGCTAGCAATCCGTCGGGGGCACGGTGCGGGGCGGGAGTGGGGGCGAGACTCGCAGCTGGAGGTGGTGCGCAAGTGATGTCTCATGATTCCGAAAGGGCTATGATATAATGCAGTGAAAACTGGGATAATTGAGAATGGCTCCAAGGCGTCTGGAATTTTTCCCCTTTGCATCAATAGCTGGCGGGGGGTTCTCTTTTCAGTTCTCGGTCTAGATAAATGAAAAGAGGGGAAATATATATAATAGACCTTGCTGGAACAGCGAAACCGTAACGTTCCAGGGGGGGGGGGGGGTTGCTGCTCCCGGTAGAATACAATGAATCGGCTTTTTTATACGGAATTTTTTTCGGGACACGTTTTATCAGCCCTGGAGCTCCCCAGTCAAATAAAGGGTATAGCAGTTACTGTGATATGATATCCCGTTGGGCCCCGGCTATCGTCTGCTCCTAGGAAAACAGTGTTTTGTCCTAGATCACCTCCCCTCCGATAGAGGTGAAATTTTTCGATGGAAAGGTGCTTTAACGGCAGTGCCAAATGGCTCCACTGTTTTCAAGCTACGTTAGCAAATGAGGGGCCCGCCAACCTATGGATTTCCCTTGGTAGTGCTTTCCCGGGTAGGCTTGCTCATAGATTTACAAGTGTCCTGGAGAAGTTTTTCCCTGTGCTTAAGTCGGCCCTAAGATTTGGGATGCAGGTGTATGAGAAATCATTGTCGGGTACCTTGCGCTTCTATAGAGACTGGACAAACTTGCGGTACTGTGCCTAGGCAAATGGTGGTGAATTGGATGCCTAGGGCACTCACAGGCTCCCAAGGGAAGTAAGGGGTGGTAAAAGAGACAACGACAATCGCTGCCCTCCAGTACGGTCTGTAGGTCTTACCGCATACTGCAGAGGTCAGGCTGAGACGGAAAGGGTGGCACCGTACTCGTACTTCGAATAGTGCTTCCGGAATCGCCATGCAGGCAGTCTGCACCTGGTACAGTGTAATTGGCTTTCCAGCGTGTTTGTCGAGTTTCCACGGTATTGGTATGGCCGACGGAGCATCCGGAAGGGTGGTAGCAATAATCGCCGCTTTATAGCACTGCAGTATATGCGGACTCGGAGTACCGTAGGCACTATTTAAGGCCAGCAATGTATACCTGCTGATGCATGCAAGCACCGCATTGCAAGAGGCTCCGATCGACTACAGGTATTGTACGTCATAGGGGATCCAAGGGAAACGTTAGCATTCATCTCGGTAGAGTAGCTGTTCAAATGTCCTACATTACTGGCAGCAGGCCTCCTTGTCAGTCTTGCTTGGGAGGTGTCCATCGAAAGTGGGGAGCGAGCGGTTTTGGGGGGCCATTTCGGTCCAACACCTGGGTGATCAGATCTTAGTGTGAGGGGTCACGATGGACTACCTTGTGCTAGCCGCTCCGCAATCCCTCCAGTCCGATCGCTTTCTACGAGCACAGGGATGGAGGGGGAGTCGCCCTTACCCCAGCCCGCACCAAAGACGTGTGCTATGGTATCAAGGATACGATAGAATGAATCGAATTGCTAGGTTGGCAGAGATACTGCTGCGACAATTCGTAGCCCACATGGGCGAGGGAGGAAATGGGCGATAGGCCACGCTTGGACTTGAGTGATCGGGGATATTTGGCCATGAGTGATGCCCCACTTTGGGGCTCATGGCTACGAGGATGCGGTGGGGCGGTTGTTGCCGTGCTTCAGAAGCGGTATATCAAACCGCCTCCTGCAGATAAATTTTTCTCATGTCCTTTCGAGGCGAAATGGCCGAGTTGCACAGGATCAATTAACTCCCGCGCTGGACTAACCTGGTCCCGAGCGGGGACGTATTGCTAACTGCGGGGTTTTCTGAATTGGCGAGGCCAAGGCTGAGGCTCAAACGGGTGTATTATACACGTTCGGTATGTGGTTTTACGTTTCTCGTGATGTGTGCTACTATATCAAAACAGTTGCGGCATCGGAGGGTGCTCAATGGCTGGGGGAAATTGTTTTCTCCCCCGATAGAGCAGAACCCTGGCCGGCAAAGCAATAAGAGATACCGTATCCGTACATTACTGTGGGGCCGGGTCCGACTCGTGGGGAATGGCCGTGTTATCGGATCGGATATGGTACCGTGCAGGGCTGCTGTACAGTGCACGTGTGTGAACAGCGGAGCCTTCCCAGAGGCACAATCAAGACTTTCTCCTCAAAGATATTTCTCCCCACCCGCCGTGGTCCTTAGTATCATAGCACATTGCTTTCATTGGCGCACGCAGCCCAAGTGCGATTGGGCTGGCTATGTTGGAAATAAACAGGCGGAGGAAGATGGAAGAGACTGTAACACTTCATGTTGAATATCAGCATCCTCGCACGCCTGTGGGCGCCTTTCATCTCTCTTGGCATGGGAAATTGGGAAAGGCGGGCGAGGTGATTGTGAAACCGCGTGGCTGTGAAAGTATATAACCCCGCCTTTCCCCCCCACCTCCGGAGGATCCACAACAGCTTCCTCAACCACCCACAACCGACCTCTCATGCCAGCAGTGTTTCAACAACACTCGTACCCTTGCGGCTACGGTGCGTTTCAACAGCACCTCAAGAACAATCCTTCTGCTCAACAAACCCCACTACACGTAAATATTACCTCTTGCGGTACTACGAAAAAATTTCGAGTAATCGAGACCATACTGACCGGCGAATTCTGAAATCCTGGCTTGGCTGTCTCCATAGAGCTGAAATATGGGACTTCAGCAGAGAGATTTTTGCAAACCCCTTTATTCTGCTATGGGGATCCAGGAGTTGGGAAGACGTGAGTTAAAAAAAAAAAGAGAGGGGGGGCTCTTCAGGAGATAAAAAAAAAAAAGGGCGGAGGGTCACGGCTAATTATACTTTCGTTTGTATAGGACTCACAAGGTCGACTTGCCTCCTTGTATTGCTACTCGACTCTTCGGGGATCGCCTGTTTTTACTTTGACTTACTCGTGGAAAGAGCAATCTACGACGAAGCAGAGACCGGGCGTCTTCCGGAGCGAGATATCATAATTTACCCATTATAAGAAATAAAGCCGGGGTTCTCCCCTAGGGGCGCGCCCCGCTTGTTTTCTTTAGCGTATGTCCTCCGCTCCATCACTTTATTTGCGGCGGGGATTTATATGTATTAGGGGGTCCGAACCTGCGAAGGGAAGCCTGCATCGATGCCCTGGATGAATCCCCAAGGAGGTTCTTCCTGGTCTGCGTGAAGGGATGGTTGGGCTATTTCCTTACAGGAAGGCCACACCGGAACCGATCGTATCGATTCGCCGTGACTAAAATCATAAAGCTTAGCAAGAGCGATATCAGACGATGATCTGAGGGCGGATATTATGAAGAGCATGGCCCTAAGGAAACAAGCTTGTGCGTTGTCGTCGTCGAAGTGTGCCAGTCCATATTCGGGATACTAGCTAACGATGATGCAGATTCCTGCTTGTTTCTTTAAGCACCGGAGACCTTGGGGGGGATGTTTATCCCGTTCGGGTCCAGCGCAGACCAGAGGGCGGCCTGGCCGGGGAGGTCGATTGGGGTGATCTCGCGGTTAGTGATACTACTGCCAAGGGATCACCCCAATCCCCCGGACCATGGTTACCCTCCGTGCTGCCCGGGAGAGCTGTCGGGCGGTTTTTGTGATTGGCTAGACCAGTGCAATACCGCGAGGGGAAGCGGAGGAACGGGGGAGACGGGAGGAGACGGAATATTCATGTATTTTAATACATGAAAAAGTTCCGGACCTAACTACTACTGCTTAAGAAGCTTCCAAGTTAACTTGATGCTTTTATCCAACCCATCACCCGAAAATACACTCTGAGTGAAACAAGCTTGCTGTGCATGAGTAATAGCCTTCCTTTGTTACCCCCCCCATCCTCCCCCCCTCATTACGACCTACCATCTTCACGCATAGAACAAGGGGAAGGGAAAAGGCGAAATAGATGTACCCACCACCCGAAATCCCCCCCAAACCCAAGCAGCCCACGCACGCACGCACGCACCCACCACCCACATCCCCTCATGGATACAGTATCATGATATCGTACCAAACAAATAAACCCAATTCTCGGGCTCGTGTCTGGTGTAGGGTGGTGTCTTGATGCCGGTGTCCGGAACGATGATGAGGTTGGGATTTTCGTTTGATTTTGGCCATCGATGGAGGGATACATCAAGCACTATACCTTGAGAATCAGGCCCCATACACAAAAATGGACAAGACGGAATAGTGTGATAGTAAAAAGGAAAAAAAAAACATCATTGAATTAAGATTCAGAAACTACACAGAGTAGCGTTTAGGAACCACCATACGGAGATCCCCCTATAAGGCCTTACGCACAGTCCTTCTGCTTAAACGAATGCCCCCCCCCTCCATGCCCATCTTCAATAGGTGAGACCTCCCTAAACGGCAAACACGCATAGCCCATCCGACGGGGCTTTTACTGAAGGAAACCATCCTCCACCCATTTCTTCCATATCAGCTCGATGTAGGGCTGCTCAATTTTCCACCCCTCCCCCTCCCCACCTAAAACGTCTGAAAAGAGAGTCACATTCCTAATCTCCATTTGGGGAGGCGGATTGAGTAGTCTCTTCTCGAACTGGAAAAAGTTAGCACAGGGGGTACCTATATATTTGCAGGGAGGCGAATACATTTGCTCTCCAGGCGGGATATGGCTTTTTGCTCCGTGAATCCGGTCCCAACTTTTCTACTTCTTCCAACCACTGCATCGGGCTGACTCTCTTGAACTTTGCTCCCGCTTGCTCTAGCCACTCCAGCACATCGCCCCAGGACGTGCTGGTATTCATGTTCCCCAGGTTAAACACAGGATCTGGGCGCATGGTATCCACATCACTCCCGGCTGAAGCAATATCTAGTACCCCACGTGCGGCAAGGTCAACAGGCAGCCAGCTCAATTTCCGCTCGAAATCCGGTAGACACCCCACTTCGCTTAGAGACTCGATCACCATCGGCCACCCCACACCACGGCTCCAAGTTCCGCTCATGCTGTGCCCTGAGAGCTCACCAAGCCGGATCAGGGCTACGGTCAGACCGGCGTGTGCGGCGTTCTCACAGATCTTCTCGGCCACCCACTTTGCGCGGCAATAGCCCAGCTCGCCCGCAAAATCTGGGGAATTGGGGAAGGACTCGTGGATATACGACTGAGGGTCCTGCCAAGCGGCACAAGAACAGAACACAAAATATGGTTTGCGTCTGCACTTCCTTGCAAGCCTTAAAAGTTGCTGTACGCTTGAGATATCAGGCGTTTCGAAGCTAGAGAGAGGATCCAGAGTAACCGACCATGCAGCCTAGTTCTCTTAGTATTTGACAACGGATGGAAAATAGCGGACCTACGTGGATTATTATCGTGACTTCCCTCAAGAGGTCATAGGTGCGCAGTTCGACATCAGCCAAATCTAGATCCGCAACTATTGAAGAAATTGATAACTGGCTGTTATGTGGGGCTATGCGGCGTAGTTCACCAATGAGGGCCTCCATATTGGCCTCGCTCTCCTTGCGGCAAAGGCAATATAACTGGGTGATTTCTTGCCTCTCTGTGACTATCTGCCTAGCAATCTGCCCACCAAGGACGCCCGTTGCGCCAGTGAGTAACTGTTCCGTTAGCGTGATATTCCTGCGTTCCAAGCGGCGACAAGAAAACCTACTACAACTTGGTTACAGATTTCACTTTGGACCATTATCGCCGCATAATCCCACGAGGCATCGACGGCGTCGTACTTCTCTACCAGCTGCATCATCAGGCTCGCTTCCCCGTCTTCCAACGCCGCACCCCCTTTGCAGCTGGCAAGAATGTATTCTGTGATCCTGCCCATCCTTAAGTACTAGATCAATTTATCCATGGGTGAAATTGTTTACCCTGCGATGGATGTCTGCTCACAGACGACAAGGTGTGGTAACCGGGAGGATTCGATCTCGACAACCTAAGAAAACCCACATAAACCCCCTCATCAGTCTCAGTTCGTGGAAATCTCACCTTAAGCAGCCGGTTTCTAATATGGACGGCAGTAATCGAATCGATCCCATATCTAAACAAATCCGTGGTTGATTCCAATGGCTTTCCTCTAAGAACCTCTTCACCTATTGCACTCATAACCACACCCCGGACAAGCTGTTCCAATTCTTCAAAATTATCCCCCTTTAGCCCTTGCCCCAACGGGCCCTGAAGATCATATTTTTCGTAGGCCCTCCCGATATCTCTCTCGAAGACATCGAAGGTGGCTTGACGCAATAATTGCTTCCTCGTGTTTCTTAGGGGGAATAGGTATGGGGGTGGGAACACAATCATATCCGGCACGATCTTCGCTACTACATTCACCTCACCCAGCACCTTGAGAATATCTTCATGGGACACATCTCTAGCTGAAGTAGGAAAAACCAAAATCCCGGGAAAGGGTCTTCCATCGCCAAATACGAATGACTCCAAAGCGAGCTCGGACACCCCCAGCTCCCTCTCGATAATAGTGGGATCCAGCTTCTTCCCATTGGACAAAGTGATCAGGCCATCTATGCGCCCGACATGTTTAAATAAACCTGATATACTAGGATGGCGAACGAAGATGTCTCCCGTGACATATCCTCCTTGCGCTGTATTGGGCTGGCAGTTCTATATTGTCAAGTCAGCGATCGCCCGTAGAAGGGGTCCAGGAAGGTAACCATTTGAGGCCAATTTGATAAAACTTCGAATTCAAGTCTCCTCTCGTCTCTAGAGTCACCACCAGCCCTAGGCGTAATAAACTGATATCCAGCATCCGGCCTAAAACGAAGGTAGTCCCATCCCATATCCACTGAAAATACGCGGTGCGATGACACCAGGACTTCTCAATTTATTAGTATTTCTCTGGGATGAGAGGGGCACGGATTCGTCGTACGCCCGCACTTGCTAGTTTCGAATCTCGAAACCAATTTAACCTCGTTTCGAACAAGAAAATCCCCAATCTCTTCCTCTAGAGGTGCTCCACCAAAACCCACCATGTCCATATCTTTCAGTTCACGAACAACAGCCGCATCCCCTGCACAAACCTTCAAAACATAAGGCACCGTCGAGAAATAGTGTGCTCTAGGATGCTGACACACGGATAGTGCCTTGAGTATATTTTTAGGGGTGATGGGAACACTAGACGGGTACATCCAGAGCATGCTGGATGCCATTAGCGAACGCATAAAGTCTGTTATTCCTCCATGATATAAAGGTGTGGTTGTGAATGTTGCTTTATGGTCGTAAAGACCCTGATACGCAAGATTAGCAATTGCTGAAGAGTGCGGGCACAGGATAAGTTTGGGCATCCCATTGGCTCTATTGGAATGACGGATATATGCTATCGCTGACTCAGTAACAAAGTTGGGAGTACGATAGGAGAGCGAAGGAGAGCGCTCGTCGACCTCAAGGAGTAAACGTGGTACACAAATACTGGGAGCGGATCTGATGGCGGTAGCCTTGTTATCCGGGGAAGCCAGAATATATTTCGATGACGATAGGTTCAAAAGATGGGTGATTTGCCGGGTGGTACATTGCGGACTGGAAATGAGGGGATTCCCGTTAGTGCATCATTTGAGCCCTAGGCAGGGAGACCGAGATTTACTTACTCGATAAGAAGAACAGCATATCCAATTTTCACGAGAGCAAGGAAATTGATCAACATCTCTAACGAACTATCCGAAAGCAAAGCCACCACTGGCGGTGTATAGCCGGGAGACATTTGGATACCATCGTGAAGACCGTGCACAACACGGGTTCTGACAAGGCGGTAGGCATGCGCATTAACCACAAGTGAAAGCCCCTCATATGCTTTGATGAGCTGTTAAACCAGTTCAGCATGCACTTGGTCGTGTATTCCACTTACAGAAGACCTTAACCCCCCAATTGTCTTTTCCAGGGACCGCCACTCCCACGGCGGGAAGGTCAAAATATGCGCGGGCCCGGCGATCTATAAGACGACTAATAGTGCCATTCCCGTAGTCCGCCTGAGTGGATGCATTAGAGCTTGCAGCATAGTCAAGCGTCTTGACAAAGTATGGGACTCGAGAGTAATTCATGTCTGGAGGTGCAGAACCAGGGGACGTGGAGAACAATAGGGGCTGGATGGAGGAGAGAGGATTCTCTCTCGAGATGAATCCATGATACAGCACTAGTGACCGTAATCGGCCCTTCCAGTAACGAGTCGTGAAGACGTAAAGGGCGTCGCACTCATGAGGCGAGATCCACGTAGAGCGGTAACTCAGCTCATAAGCCCCACCGATAAGATCTAAACCCGGTTACTCTTCTGCACATCGGCCCTTTCCCTTGCAAACACACCAAGTCGGATTGAGCCATAGCTCGGGTCAAGGTAGCTGGGCAGCGGATATCTAGGGGCCGTTCAATTGCGCGAACCGCCCCGACCCATCAACAAAAAGTGCGATATTCCCGTGAGGGGCCACACAGTCGAGGTCACTGTCGTGAACCGCAGCCACAAGTCGCACCCGCAGAGTAACATTTGTGAATCCATCCCGGGGACTCTAACACGGCGGGCGAGGGTGGAACTGCCGCAGAAGCCAAAGCACTCGACCATCCAGTGATAGCTCGTGCCCGAACCTTGCCATCATACCCGCTGACCTGCAGTGAACTGCCGCATGCGTATTTGTGGAACCGTGTCAGGTCCTGGGTGAACGTGCATGACCGGCACGCGCATGCGCAGCTGCCTGGCATACTATCTTAGCACGGCGGGTAATCATCCTTGTGTGCCGAGGGTCTACTTTACCATATATGCTATCGTATGATACCCGTATGAGTACTGTACGCAGCCCCTTGTGGCATTGGGGTTTTGTGTTGGCGGAGGAGGCCAGTTCCGATCCTAAATTGTCTTTGTTGGCTCTAATATGTGCCAAGACGACCTCGGCTTGGCGTATACTCTTCGATTTCGAGTGCCCGGCACCATACCTCATTTTAAGTATCGTGCTCGAGTGGTTGTTGCTGGATATGAGGCTGAATTCGGGATTTTGTTTCGCCCAAGTGTGGTCTACGAGGGTGCTGGGTGGTTCGTGAAACGCCAAATTTCAGGCTCGCCACACTAATGCCGAAGTCTGTCAATTGTCAAGTTGTCTCACTCTCACTTCCGGCATTGCGAACCGTGGTTGAGATTCTGCAGGTTGTCCAGGTGTTCGGTAACCCCATAAAATACGTTACCCGTAAGTTACCCCCCAACCCCTCTCCATCTCTCTCGAACCTCCCCCCGTCAACTCAACCAATCCAATCCCCCACCTCCATTTCTTTCATCAAAAAGATACAATTTGCAATGCCAGACTTCACTATCCATGATGTTCTCCCCCTCCCGCAGACTCCCATAAAAATTCCTCGAATTGGTTTTGGTGTTTTTCAGGATCCCCCAAACAAACCCGAATGCGTTAAAAGCTGTCTCGCCGCCCTCGAAGCGGGTTACCGACACATCGACACGGCACAATACTACGATAACGAAGAAGCGGTCGGTGAAGCCGTCCGTCAAAGCGGTTTGGAACGCAGCGATGTCTTCGTTACCACCAAGATTCAGAAACCGCAAGGGGGTGTTGAGGAAACTCTGGAGAGTTTGAGGGCAAGCGTTGACCGGATTGGATTGGGATGGGTTGACCTGTTCTTAATCCATATGCCTGTCAGTGGCCCTGAAGGCAGAAGGGAGATGTGGAAGGCTTTGGAGAAACTGAAGGACGAAGGAAAGACAAAGAGTATTGGAGTGAGCAATTTGTGGGTCTGCTTCCCGTAACTCACCAGCCAGGATACTAATAAAACAAATAGCGGAGTGAAGCATCTGGAAGAGATGAAAGGATACTCGGGAACTATTCCCGCCGTTAATCAAATCGAGCTTCACCCTTGGCTTCAGCAAAGCGAGATTGTGGATTACTGTTTCAAGGAAGGCATTGTTGTCGAGGCATACACCCCGCTTGTTCGTGCACTCAAGAACGATGAACCGGATCTTGTATCCATCGCAGAGGCGCATTCAGTCACGCCGGCACAAGTGCTGGTTCGCTGGTCCCTCCAAAGAGGGTTTGTCCCGCTACCGAAGAGTTACAATCCTGAAAGAATCCGGTCCAACGCAGACGTGTACGATTTCGAGCTTTCGGATGAGGAGATGGAGAAGTTGAACGGGAAAGCATTGCCTGGTGGAGAAGGGGCAGTTTGTCCGTACGATGTCAACTGCCCGTGAGCTGTTTATGTGCCTTGAGCAGTTTGTGTCAGCATGGTGGTATGATGCGGGCGCAATTGGTCATGTTGGCAGCTTAGGATAGCATACCGAAATTATTTCCTTGAATAATGTTTTAAATCAGGTGATATCTCCCCGACAGAGTAAATTGCAATAGGAAATGCCGACACCGCGAGTAGCGACCCGGGGGGGTGGGTCAGAAAACTTGTACGAGTACTGTAGACCACGCAAGTGGAGTCGCGTTTCCTGCCAAAAACGTCCGGTTGGTTCAGCACTGTTTCTTATCTAAAATCGGTAGGTTGTTCAGGGGGGTCTAAAGGGGTTGGTGAGACAATCTAGAGAAGCATTTGGGCAATCAAAGCACGGGAACCTGTTCGGTAGTCACAAAAATCCCCGTCCGCGGTTGACTGTAGGACCGTGTCTCTAATCTTGACAACTTCCAAGAAGGAACGCTTTTATCCAGTAGACTACCAGGTACAGTACAAGTACAGTACTCATGTCGTGGCCCGATACCGATCGAAACGGCTCTTATCCCGCGGTGAGACACCAAAATGGGCGCAGCCTTAATCCTGCCACAAGAGCACTGTACAATGTCCGAAATAGTAGATAAAATGAGTTAGACTATCATTAGCCGAAATCACCCAAACTCACTCGAGAGGATTTTTAGGCGGAGAGGACGCTAAAAGCGAGCTCTAGACATCCAGCACTCCTAGAATCGGGAATCAAAACATCTCTTCCAACAATTCTAAAGGACCCCAAAGAACGCGTATCCCTTTTCCGCACTAGCACGGTGCCGTCCCCGAGCACTTTCATAAATGGCCCCGAATTCTTAATGCCATCCAAAGCACCGACTCCCATCCTTGGGTAGCCACCCTAACCCTCATTTGATTTGCCAGTCCCATAATTCCACAGAGACGCTCCTCGCATCATACCCATGGTGCAGGGGAACCTCCTCCCCACTCTCTACGGCCGAGGGGGCCTCCTCACCAATCCATGGATAAGGGTAAGGACCATTGGAAGATGTGTAGTTTAAAACCGGTTGTACCACTCTTAAGATTTTCAGAAATTATGAAGCGATGGAGGGAATTGATAGCGTTATTTTTACAGGTGCAAATGAGTATTTTACCTCATACCGCACTTGTATGTGCTGATAAGATATCGGCCATCACTGCTCACCGGGGTCATACCCTTTACAAACACGACCCCTTGGACCCCCATGCGCACGTTAGTCTCGTCCGTCTGAGTGCAGTATCATACTAGACGCTGCTCCCCCACTGGATATTGCCGCGACCCCAGCTGGGAACTTGCTAGGTATGAGGGCTTGGACGATTATGTGCCCCGGGCGGGAGATCAAGGGAGAGAATTGTGTCTCGGGGATATGGGGGCAAGGTAGGATATCATGCGTATCACTGCCCTTATCGAGACCCACTTTAACGGCAGTGTTTATTAGGCTTGAGACGAAGCTATGCTGGTCTTCTATCTTCAGATTTGATAGTTTTGAGTGTATCCACCGTACTCTTATGCGTTGTATGGTTTATATCAATACTGACCCTGATGGGCTAAGTGAATATGGTGGCTCTAATGCCTATAGGAAAACACCAATAGCTCCTAACTCCAAGAAGCCTAGCGATAGACGGTGAACAAGGAAATGTTTTGAATAATTTGCATTCTCCCTACATTCTACTTGGATAAGGGGACACCACCCAACACACTGGAAACAACGGAGGACCTGCCTTAGGAACCTGGAAGGGATTTAGAAGTGGTCTTGGCACATTTTCTGGCTAAAATCCAAAAAGTCAACTTCTATGATAGATCCTTTTTTTTTCCGAAGCCCGAACTACCCCCTCTCCCCTCCCCCTCCACTCCCCAGTCTAGATCTGAAAGACTCAGAAATCTAGAAACCCGTATACAGTTGGCCAACCAGCCCCAAAGCCACAATTCCCACCACCACACCAAACCATATTTCCCCCCAGTCCACAAAACGGAGAAGGGACGGGCTACTTGGGGATGCGACCCTTTACGAGAGTTCATATCCCAATTGGATTCCCTAGACCCCTCACATCCCTGGTTTCATCGCCCCGCGATCATTAAAATCCGGAGGTCCGGGAATGGTTCCTCCTATGATATCATACCGGAACAGCCCATGATATAGACTTCCGCTCCAAACCCCGGATATTTTCTCGATTCCTACTATCGGTAGTTCTCCAGCGACTTCGATCCGGCGACTCGATCCCGGCATTGCTCTCACGTTATGATACTGCTTTTTTTCTTGGAATTCGACTCTCATCTTCCCTCCCGCGGTATCATATCTCATCCGGTCAGCGACCACCGCCCTGTACAGGGTAAACTTAGGAACCCTACTTCCCCCCCCCCTCCCTACTCTAGCTAGCCAGCAGATTCTCAGGGTATTCAGACCAACTACGACAGATGTAACAACCACTCACAACCTATCACTCGGACAGCTATTCAGACAAAGCAGGCTTAAATTATACCGGAAATTGAATAACATTGCACACCAGGAGGGGGAAGAAGAAAAAAATCCAATCACATCCTAGAAACCCTTGTAGTACTAACATTAACTCTACTCCACTTGGTCCCTGAAACAAGAAACTGCCAAAACAGCGTGGGCAAGTAAACATGATAGAGCCACCAGAACGGCACGGGGTCCCACGTCCTGAACGTGGCGTCCCTCCACCAAAGCAGATGCGTGAAGAATTCCCGCAAGGCCTCTGCTACCCTCTCCCCCTCCATCAAGGGGAGGAAGACGAGAGTGACGAGATCGTGTCCGAACCAGTAATAGCCCTCGACCTGGGAAAGGTCAGGTACGAAGTACCTCACGCTCGAGACCCCGTTCTGCTCCTCCGACGCCGGCTCGAGGAGGGATAGATAGGCCCTGCACAGCTGCTCCGGCGCGTCCTCAAATAGCACAACTGCGGTGTGCGTCCTTGGATTACACCTGGTCGGGAATGGTCTTAACTCTCCATCCTTGCCCTCGCTTATGAGAACATCGAGGGAGACTTGTCCGGTCAAGCACCCGTTCTCGAGACTCTTCACGTACCGCTGCGTCAACTCCTGCAGCTTCAACGCGTACTTGCTATATGCCTCTAGTCCCTGGCAGCACATCAGTGACTCCGATGACTGACACCCCACAAACGCGCCCAGCTGCCCGTTCGATACAACGGCGTGGGTGCAGAATTTGCGCCCAGTGATGTGCTCCTGGAAGAGCCAGGGGTTGTCAGCGCTTATTGGGAGCTCGGAGAGGTAGGCTCTAGATTCCTCTTCCGTGGGGCGCGGGAATAACGTCATGTTCTGGCGGGCCGCATCGTCCAGGGTTATGCTCTTGAGGGTGTACTTCTTCCCGTTGAGCACTTTTGCTTTTATGAACCGAAGGGCTTCGTCCTGGCTGGTCACACAGACTGTTTCTGGGGTGTCGAGGCCGATTTTGTCAGTGTGTTGGGTGAAGAGGTGCTTGTGGTGGAGTGTTCGGCAGGTCTCTGGCAATGACTGGAAAACAACACATCCGGTCTCCCAACGGATCCTTTCTGCGGCGACGGCATCTTCGACGGTACTTGCTTCGTCGGAAACGCAGATCCACATATCCACGCTTTCCCTTTTGATGATATCCAGCAGCGCATCCTCATACCTCTGCTGCCCCCCGCCCTCCTCGGAGACTGGTGAGTCAACGAGGTAGTAAGCGTCCAAGGCTCGCGAGAACCTCCCGCTAGAAATTGCTCCCCCGCGAGCGACGTCAATGCCGATGACTCTGTGGCCGGCAAGGTAAAAGCTCCGCGCTAGCGATAGTCCCTTCGTCATCGCCAGGGAATTAATCATTACTGTTTTGCGCCTTCCCGGAGGGAGAACGGCGGCACCGGTACTCGGCCGGATGCATTCTTTCAAGAGACTTAGGAGGAAGACTAGCGTCGATATCGGGAGGAAGAGGTTGCTGAGGAGAATTAGGGAGAGGTTCTTGAATATGTGGGCTGCGAGGGAGCGCGAGGTGAGGAGTGCCAGCGGCATTTTGTGCGCATTTGGAGGACCAGATTGGCCGACGGGGAAGTGATGGGGGGATGGGATAAATGGAGGTGGGGATCAGAACAGTTTGAATGGGATGGCATCTCCGTAGGGCAGGCTGCCTATGCGGATTGGTCGAACTATACTCGTACGCTATTATCCTTCAACTGTGGTTCTAATCCAAGTTAAGAAGCATTTCCAAGTGGACAGATAGTGACGGGTTAGTGCAGTCCGGGAGGTCTATCGATGGAGAGCGAGTTGCATCATATATTCCGGGCCAACTATTTTAGCCCCTTCCATTTCACAACCCAACCGAGTCAGTACGAGGCAAGGTAGATGCTAGCGCCAGTGTCAGGTTATTGTTTTTCTTCCACACACAAACTACCGCACTTGAAGGACGCTATCCAAACTGAGGGATACATACATACCGGTAACTCTGTGAGACTACCGGTATTGCAAGGAGGCGACAGCTGCTAGTACGGCAAGCACGATATCTGGACAACACTTTTCTTCACATAATTTAACCCAGAGCTAGTGGGCCCTCAAGTGACCTTGAGGAATTCAGCCTTCTTCCCCCCTTGAAAACTCCCGTCCTATCCTAACGAGATAACTTTCAATTACATACCGGCATCGGTAGTAATAAAGGCTCAGGGGAAAACTCAAAATGAAATGGTGGAACTTCTCTCTCCACTCGAGTATACTCAAGTATGATATATATGAAAAAAGTACAAAATGCGATTATGCCAAGAAAGGTTAAATAGATGTCAAACCGTCTTTAATTGGGTAGCCCATCCGCCCCCAGAACTACCGGTACCCTATTCCATGCTCCGTCGTCAGTCCAAACCCATTCTCCATGTCTACCTTCCCCACAACCTTCCCATGTCCGGTCTCATTCTTCTCGAAAACCCCAACAAATCCACGTAGGCGTCCAGGCCAGTCCCATCTATGGGCAGACCTTTTACAGCCTCCGTATTCACCTGCAATGCAACCCCCATCTCCTCCCTCATCACATTGTTTAGGAGTACACACTACCCCAACGATCCTGGTATCGCAACACGTAATGTCCCATATCGAGCCTTAAGGATATCCCGCATCCCCGCAGGCGGCAATTCCTCATCAAAGCGCGGATGCTCAACAGATAGCCCCACTCTACTCGTACTAAACAGTGCAATAATGAACAGGTGGCGTCCCAGACGGAATAGTCGCCCCAACAAAGCCAACACAGTAGAATACGCCACGCGCACCAAAACCGCATTTCAGGTTCTGGGCGGCGCTTCCAGCGCAAATGCCGGAGCAGGGCTCCAAATCTATCCGTACGCCGTCACCCGATCGAGTCCGGTCTTGCGTAAGTATACGTCTGGGGTTTGAACATAACATGAATGCTCCTGCCATTGATCCCGTCTACAGCACTCCTGAGCCCCTAATCACTACAGGCTGCCAAGCCCTAGACAAACAATGTCCCCGCAGTTCCCGTGCGGGCTCGGGGAGGGCGGCCGGGGTGGGGGGGAGTCAGGAAAATCCCCAGGGGCGCGGTACAGCCGAGACGGTCCCGGTGCTTCCCGCAGTTGGCAGTGGCTTTTACGCTTACTGAGGCGCCAATCAGGCCGGCTGCGGTCGCGGGGATGTGGATGAAGGTTGCAGTTAGGGGGTAGATTATATGTTGGGCAGGCGAAACTGCCCTCATCGGGTCAAAAAAGTGAGCGTGATTGGCCTGGATTATGTCCAAGTCAGTGGGTTAGGGCTGTATCTCTACTAAGTTAGTTCGCCCTAAAATGGATGTAGACCACCAGTCCAGAAGACAAGTACTCGAGTAATCTACCCACCAATCGCCAACATCGGTTCCCTCTTGACGACCCCAAAGCCGTTCATAACCCCGCGAGTCCCCAACAAGATCTCCACAGTCTGGCTCCTCCCTAATCTTCGTCTCGTGCTCCCCTAGTACTGCTTGATCTAAGCGCCGTATAAAGCACATGGCTGTATCAATTGCAGCAAGGCATCCATCCCACCGTTTTGTATAGATTTGCCAGCTACAAGCCCTTGGCATCGAAGACTTCGTCGAGGGAGGCGAGGCCGGTAGAGGTCTATTCGCAGCCCCGGACTTGGGGGGGGTGCAGTCGGGGTGGGAGTTCCTGTGGTGGACAGGCCAGATACCCCTCCACCACCAGGCACCGTGCCGCGGTGCCAGTAACAATAGTAACATCAACAGCAGCAGCAGATAGAAGGAGGCTAACACAGGATGAGTTTTTAGTTTCGCCGAAACCTAGCCAAGAGCTACCCGTCAAATATTGTAAACAAAGTATAGTAGCCACCCGGTGTGTTCCACACTATCTCCCTGAGTATTATAAAATATGAAATTAAACAGCTTTTTGCTTCTACGAGTACATTTTCTGTAAGAGTATTAATAGAAGGGGGTTTTTTTTGACTCGTGCCTGGCGGCATCTCTTGACAGGGCGTGGTGGCCAAGCACTGGTCATGTGATCTTGATTTTTTTACCATTTAAAATGTACAGTACCCACAGCCATTGGTATAGACTCAAAGGCACATGAACCTGCGGCGATATTTTACATGTGAACTCCTTTGCTGCCTCTATGAAAGAAGTACGAAAACGCACGAGTCGTGATACAAGACGTGGTGGAAGCTTCGGCCCTTGTTTGTTTATCCGCCCACACCCCAACACTGTGCCTAGTGGAGACCTAGCCACCATCACATCCTATCACCAGTTGACGCGCCGGTCGGTTAGTGGACCACCTCGGAAGCCTTACTAGTGTATGTACCGTATTAATCTCCGCCCCCCATTCTCGCTGCGGCGGATCTCGGATGGCTACGGAGGTCTGATATCCGCGCAACGTATTTACATCATCATCTCCATCACCGCCCATCACTCTCGATACCATCACATACAGTACCCTCCATACAAATATAGGATCCGGCTATACCCGTTCCAACCTAATCCCGTGACAATCATCACCGCCCAGGATAATTATGTTTCTCGTCTAACCCTCCCGGAGGAAACTGGTGATCTGGCCACCCCTAAAATCGTCAATAACCTCCCCAATTTAGTCAACCCCCCGCCATCATTCAATCTCAATAGGAAGTCATCATGTGCAATGGGAAATGCGATCCCAACTCCCTCATAACCCCACCCATCGAACCTCCACAGGCTCCATCCACCCGCACCCCAGTATGCAAGAGCCCCCGAGACCTACATTCGACAGCTCCTACTTCAAGGGTTTCTCCTCCAGTACACCGGTAGGCTCATCACAATATGTCACTCGATCCCTACTCCCTGCAGCAGCTGCAGCAGCAGCAAGAGAAGCGGAATGGGAAGTGACAGGAGACAACGGCAAGAATGGCTTCATAAGAGATACCCGCTACTCTGAGCAGTACCATATTTACGTTCGTCTTTCCCCCTTTTTTTTCTCAGGACCTGGGTGAAGTATAGAAAGAGAGATGGGGGGGCTAACGGGGAAAGGACTGTCCCGCCGCCTATAGGAAATTGAGCTGTTCGACTACATATTAACGCACCCGAACGTCGAATCGTTCAGGAATAATCCCGAGGCGATAATAGCGGAGATGGAAGTTTTCATGACGAAGAGGTCCCTTATAAATATTGGGGAGGTGAAAGGTTCACACCATATCACACCTCATCTTATCGTACCCAGCAGGGCTGAGTTAGCTAACGGGTTCACTGGCAGGCCGCCTGATAAAAAGTCTAATATTGACCCACTGCCCGAAAAAAATTATAGAGATCGGCGCATACATCGGGTACAGCACCCTCCTCTTTGCCTCGATCCTAAAATCGGACCCGCTCATCCCCACTGCGGAGAAGAAATACATTGCGGTCGAGGAGTCCCCGCTTTTCGCTTCGATAGCCCTATCACTAGTGAACCTTGCGGGTCTCTCGGACCTGGTCCAGGTCACCATTGGCCGTTCCCCCGATACGCTGAGGAATCTAAAGAGCCAGGTACCAACGGTGGACATGCTATTTTTTGCCCGCAACAAGCCGCTGTACACGGATGACTTGAAGGTCATGGAGGAGATGGGGATGATTGGGGTTGGGAGTGTGCTGGTGGCAGATAATGTCACGATGCCTGGGTATCGGAGGTATGCGAGGTATGTGCGCATGGCGGCTAGGGAGAAGCTTGCTGCTGGAGTGAAGACTAGGATTGCGGAGGAGGAGGGATGGGTGGATATGGGAGAACGGGAGAGGGGGGGGGATCCGAGGCTAGTTTATGAGAGTGGGGTGTTGAGGGGTTCTAGCCGTATGTGTACTCCGGTATGTCGTTCTTTCTTGCGGGGAGGTGGGAGGTTGAGAAGGGGGAGATGCTAATGAAGTCTAACATGACAGGGCGCAATAGAAGTGACGATGTGTGTTGAAAAAGTTGAAGAACAAGAGGACCCCGCCGAGGAGCCTTTGGCCGGCTCTAGGGGAGAAGAAATCCTAACCACAGCTCTAGCCACTTCTCCCCAGTCTTGATTACAAGTATGATAGGAAAGTTAAATTTCTATTTACTCTAGTTCGCTCCATACTTCAATGCCTTTATAACCCTCCCAACGCAATAATTTTTCAGGTCTTGTAGGTTTCATCCCAAATTCATCCATCACGGCATTGAAAGAATCGAAGACACAGAGACAACCAGAACCCCCCCCCCCCCGATCTAACAATCCGGTGTCTAACTCCCACACAATACAAGCATCCAGCCCATATTCCTACCTACCTCAAGTATCCACTAGCATCACACTTGCATGTTAATTTTGCCGGCTAGAGGTGGATGTAATCTCCAGCGACAAAGAATAATAACCACCCCTTAGCCCAGCACCGGCAACAGAGCCCGAGAATCATACCCTAGCTCCTACAATGTAGGATGACGGCTGAAGAAATGTAACGAGAGTGACCAGTTCAACGAAGAAGGAATGAGGCATTACAGGGAAAGAGGGTGGAGGGTGGTAGGGTGCCAACAAAAATTGGTGGAGTCTGATATGATATGACATGATAGCAAGGCTACTGGTAGGCCCTAGCGGGTATACCGGTACTGCAAACGAACTCTATAACAGGGAAGCAAGCTATGATATCCTGAGGTCCCGACCGGGCTAGAAAATCTAGAACCCAAATTTATATATTTCTCAGAGCAAAAAAGTTTAGATCTATAACAGATCAAATATCGTGGTACCATATAAACACACAGCCCGCATTCCCTTCTTTCTTCCACAATGATAGTATATCAATAACACCGATGTCCATTCAAACTTTGACCGAAGCGTTACTCAATTCAGCACAACCCCCTTTTGGCACGTCCCCACCTCTTCGCCTGAATTCCAGGTCCCACAATCCCCGCCTAATCTGTGAACGGGTCAGTTCTAACTTGACGTATATTCTCGAAAAAAAAAAGAAAAGAAAAAGCTGCAATAGATATTCTAGTCGGCGCGTCAGTTAATAGATGGATCTACACAGGGATCAGGGAGTTCCTAAACAAGAATATTCGTCTTATACATGTTGAATTTTCTAATTCGTTTCATATATATGTTCTATCCCATTGACAAAGAATTTTACTTCACCAAGGGGATATCCTGTCCACCAAGAGGATATCCCCTTGGAAAAGCAGAGAACTTGCCCTGTAGGATAGCCCACTCATCAAGTTAAATTTTTCCCACCCCACCCACCAAGTGGAATACATTAAATTTTTATTTTTATATTCTACTAATTCTCTTCTTGTCCCCTTATTCCCTTCCTACCCAATCCATAATTCAACAATTCGCACCTTATTCTGAGAAGGTATTTGATGTGAATACTATTATACTTGTCAATTTCTGACCTATCAAAAACTTTTTTTTTCATTTTCTTGGTTTGTTTGGAATACAGGAGGAGGTGGTAGTAAGGGGTTTCTTTACTCTGTTAACTAGTTATGGC